TTGAATTGATCCCAGACGACCGAATACGCAGACCTGACGAGCGGCATGATCAGCTAAACCGGGGAAATTTCGCCCTGTTGTTCAGGTGTTACTTATTACGAAATGAATATACCTCTAATGAGAGAGAATCACTGTCTAATATAGTTTAGTTCTATTAGTCTTGACCGTTGACCACTTGGATCAGGAAGGAGGCTTTTGATTCTCAATCTGAAGGTTCATCGTTCGAAATTGATAATCACTGCCAACGAGTTTTAACCAGGATATAATAGATCTTCAGAAGTTCTTGTAAGTCATGGCCCATTACAATACTCTATTAAAAAGGGAACCTCGTACGCTGTCCCTTGCAGTCAACAAAGTGCGTCGGTTCAGGAAATACTTTAAAGGACTAACTTGAACTAGTGAAGAGAAACTCACTGGAAATTGGCTATCCTGAGCAGTCTATCAACCGTAATTGGACTGAATATAATAAGCCAGCAAAAATGCCAAAAGTGGAGAAGAAAATGCATTTTATAAAAATTTCATTCAAAGGCGATGTCACCACTGAGACGGTCAGTCTATTTTTATCCTCAGCAGTGTTTTCTCCACGTCACCAAACATGCTATGCTACAACAAATATAAACTGCCTTTGTTGACCTCATCTATGATTGCCTACCAATTCAAGTTCACTTGTGGTGCGACAACCGATCAAAGAACACAACCCACGCTGGCTCACACAGGGTGGGAGTAAATGGAGCTGTGTCAAACTCGATCGTTGCTTATGTGGTAGAGACGGGACACTTGGTTTACATGCGCTCAGCATTTGCAATCATTTATTGAGTCTCACCATACCCCTCGAGAGCAATACCGTTTCGGAAGTGAGCAACCGCATAGGCGAATATCTCCCGATTCATGAAGCCTGAGCTGTGCGCACAACGGAACTTGATTCAAGCTCTCAAACACCCCTGGCCAAAGGAAAAGGAAATCGCTTGTTCACAGGAACATGAAGTAACAACATGACGTAACGTCTTTGGTTGCATGCTACAAACAGCCCACAATTTTAAAATTCTCTCATTGCCAAACACATGACTCATCCACCTTCTGTTTGACCCTATTAAAATTGTTTCATATAACTGTGAGTGTAAAGGCTTGAAAAGGAATTCACCGAAAACATGTTCCCCTACATTGTGTTCTTAATCAATGGACATATTTTGCGATTTCACTATCCTACCGCTAAACGGTTTCTTTCATAAAATGCATTTTTGTATTTGATCCGAAAACAGGGGATATGAAAAACAAAACAACGAGTCAGTACTAATTTATTCGAAACCTTCGCAAATAAGAACCAGTGCAACAACTGTTCAACATGTGTTAGGCTAGAAGAACATTTGATAAGTCTCCTCTGTAGCACATTTATTCGAAAATCTTAAAGGGGAAAAACGAGGACCTCAAAGGGGGATTATTAGCATTATTTACCTAAAAGAAAGCTCTGGTTGGAATCACATGTACATTAATTAATATATATATATATATGTATTATAATCAAGCTCGAGAAATCCCTGATGCATAAATTAGCCGAACATTCATTCTCAAAACAACCGGAGAAATTTGTTAAGAATCTGTCATCTGTCGAGCTAAATCAGCTTCAACTGCAAGAACTTTCGTGTGGTCTTCGCTTTGTGTTGCGCCTAAGAAATTCAACAGCATAGAATCACAGGCACAATTTTAATATTTCTTAGAACAATTGAAAATGCCTAAAGGAACCTCAAAAGATGCAGAATCGTGGATAAAAACGAAACTAGTCAACTTGGAGAGTCAATACCGAATAACACCATGAAGACAAAAGTCACTCACTGTCGAGCATTTATTCGCTTTAAATGAATTAGAGGAAAATTCCGATTTGGTCATTTTCAACCCTGACGATGGGTTCTAGGGTTGTCCTGATGGACCGTATAGATTACCAACGAAATATGCAATGTATCCTCAATGATACCAACAAGTTTTTGCGACAAAAGACATGTGATGACCCCAAAGAGCTGGAATGGAAAATCGCCTCTGAAGTTCAGTTCCTATTGGAAGGACACCGCGCGGGACCTGAGGACGAGAGGAGCTCAGATTCCCCAGCTTTATGGCCTGCTGAAACTTCACAAGCCAGGTGTGCCACTCAGAAAAATTCTATCTATGACGAGCTCACCACAGCACCAAATGGCGAAATGGCTGGTTAAGGTTTTAGAACCAGACCATAGATCAATGGTGAAGCATACAGCCAAGGACAGTTTCAACTGGTGGATCAATATAGAAAGAAAACACATGGCCTGCTGCGATGTTTAATCCCTGTTCACTAATGTACTAGTTCCTGAGGTCATACAAATCATCTGCGATCATGTTGAGAAGGAACAAATTCGACTGAGTCTACCGGTATCCGTCCTTGAGCGTCTATTACAGCTCTGCACAACCGACGTGTCTTTCTCTTTTCAAGGAAATGCGTACATGCACATCGATGGTGTCGCTATGGGTAGCCCGCTCTGCCTAGTCCTAGCAGACTAGTTCATGGCACATCTGGAACAGGAAGGAAATAATATTCAGGGGCCGCTGTCCTGTACAAAAGATATGTCGACGACACCCTGTTTATAACCGAAAGCTTAGAAGAAGCTACGATAATTATGGATGAACTCAAAAGACTACATCCAAATATACAGTTCGCAATCGAATCTGAATCCAACAACACACTCCATTTTCTTGATATTACCATGACTTGAAAGGAAGACGGAACGACTGCTCGATCCGTTCATTGAAAGGAAACCTGGACAGGTCAATAATTGCACTTCGGGAGCTTTATGCCTCTGGAGTACAAACGTATTTGACAGAACAAGGCGAATCTGCATGGAAGACAGAATTGAACAAGAATTGCAAATCCTTCGGGAGTTGTCAGCAAACACGTTTACCCCGAAAAGTTTATTAAGAAACATAGCAAACGTAGAATTGCGAAAGAATCGGTTACGTCAGTTCCGTAATTGCGGGTCACGTTGTACCTTCTGTTCAAAGGCGATGACGTAAGCCGCCTGCTCAACAAACGACTGATATCAGCAATCGTTCGAATTTACTATGCAGCTGACCCCCAAATCGTCTACCGGACAACCAAGATACCCACATACCCCGACAAAAGAACGTCTACCTCTATACGCTAGCTCTAATCGTATCTACCAATTACAATGTGTTTGCGGAGCAACCTACGTCGGCAGAACAAAACGACAATTACGCAATCGGGTGGTGGAACATATTCCGAAATGGGTCCAAAATCAGGCGACACAATCGGGGGCAAGTCCGCTGCACAGATACGAAGGTCGAAACTACAAGACCCCGTCCTCAGTCATCACTCGACATCTGCTGACGACGCAACGTCAGAGTGACCGAAACACGGCGTTTTGGATCGTCTACAAGTCACGAGTTGCAAGATTGCTAAGGTTTGCTGAAGCGATTGCTATTATTCGATGGAGGTCTCCCTGGGTCAACAAAAATAACTTTATGTTAGCCTTTTCGTACCCCGGTGACATGATCCGTTTATCCCTCTCCCTTTGTATGTTTTGTATGTCTTTTTTCTGTGTTAATGTATTTTCCTTTGCTTTGTTGCCATGCTAAAGCCTTATATAAACATAGTATTTCCTACAGTATGCACCATGTTGAGATGAAGCAAAATCGTCCTGGACGTAAATCGTGCAATCTTGCAATATGTTCTTTTCTCGAGATATATCTATATCACCGGCTTGAGAACAGGCATGATGCTAATGTAAAACAATGATAAAAAAGTTGTGGAGGAGTACAGAAAGATTAAATGAAAATGGGGAAAATTGTGAACACGAAGAATGAATATATAGATGAAGGAATTTTTTATAGTTTCACCGTACACTTTCTAAAGTTTTTTGTGTTTTGTGGGACGGGGTTTCGTCAAACAAACCGCACAGCAATCGCGCCATTGATATCTTTTCTGAGCCATATCTCTCAGCTTCTCTGGCCATCGGCAATCCTCATCCCTTGGTCACTAGCCTGCAAGACCAGCTGCACCAGCCAAAGCCGATAATGAGGCTAACGTCTTCATACCTCTACGCCACGTCATGATCTAACCGCCGCGAAGCTTCTTCCAACCTTGCCCGGCATGCGCAGAGAGAGCAAGGCGAGGTAGTCAATGGGCAGGCATACGCCAAACATGACCGAGCCATCGGATGTGGTGTAGAATGATTTCTTCCGTTAGAGAACGACTGTCGGTACTCAGCACACGACAACAAATTTCGTCATTGCTCACCCGGGGTTCTCATCAGACAAGAGCAACGCTCCTAAGGCATCGGCGGTCGAATACTAAAGTCGATTAACACCCTCCGCTCAGAGAGGCCAGGTCTCGCAGCCGTAAAGCAGAACAATAATGTCCTTTAAGGGACAGTCGGATATCATGACGGTGCCACAGGTGTTGCAGGTGGGTGAAAGCTGCTCTGGCTTTCGCTATTCGTGATGTGATCTCTTCCCCAACCCCACCTCTAGCTGTGATTGAGCTCCCGAGGTAACTAAAGCTCTCGACCATTTCCAGCTGATCACCACAGAGGGTGAGTGCAGGCACAGGCTCTTGCCGCTCTTGAAACAGCAATTTGCACGTTGATGGTGCAAAGCACACACCATACTTGGATACCTCTTTCGCCAAGTGGTGTAAAGCTTGTTCGACTGCCTATGCATTGTCACCCAACAAGGTGATGTCATCGGCATATTCCAAGTCAAGAACTCTGTTCCCTGGGAGGAGTTCGACTCCCCCGTCTGCTAGACCGGACAAAGCTTCCTGTGGAACGTCCTCTATGACAAAGTTGAAAAGGAATGGGGATATAGGGCAGCTTTGTCGAACTCCACTGGTGAACGCGAAGAGTGGTAAAAGCTGGTCATAGGTCCTAACCCGACCTGAGGTATGGCGGTTTAATTCTTTGAGGATCGACACATGCTTCTCTGGTACTCCATTCATCAACAAACACCTCTATAGCGCGGTCCTATCAACAGAATCGAAGTCCGTGCGAATGTCTAAGAACACAATGATCATTGGTCTATGGTAAGCATGACGGTGCAAGCAACTGTCGGAGGATGTGCACTATTGACCGAAAACAAGCTGAGTGTTTTCTCTACTTCACTTTTGTTGGTTTATATGTGGGTTTTTATTGTGTAGCAGTCAAACAAAGACGGAAATGGAAAGCTAGAAAGCACTGGTCAGGGGTTCTGTCCTGTCAGAGCCTCATCAACAGGGAGAAACTAACAACCTGACTGAGGGTCGAACCCGGTTAAACGAGCTGGTGAAGACGAATTTTGTTATAACGCGTATATAAGAAGAAGTTTTAAAAACCGGTTTGATCAGCTACCCGGTGGTTAAGTAGGTGTCTTGCTGGTGTTCTACTTGTGATGGCCTGTGTGCGATCCTCTGACGTTTCGGTGAATTCGTGCAGCTGGCAAAATCGAAACGGGTTAATGCACTATTTCCATGCTTTGCACTCTGTTTGCACTACCAAATCCTCTGTATGGTTCGGTACCATCCTGCACTAAGCTAATGCATTTTGGGATTTCACTATTGCTGAACCAAATTTCCTAGCGTGGTCTTCTGTCCCATTAAATCAATTGTTTGTTATGCATATATGCAACCCTAAAAAGTTTCTTCCTTTAGTAATTATTTCAGTAAGTTCATCAACATTTTATTTGTCTCCGAACCAGCGTGTTCTACATTCAGGCCTGCACAACACGCAAAAATCAATCATTAAGATATTCCTGCTTAGCTCATAATAAAATGTTTTACTACAAAACATTCAGCCAACTCCGGAAAGCTTGCGGATTGATCTGATGAATTTCTAAACCAAGTCAGGGTCCTTTGCACAATGCTGTCATTTTCGCAGATTACCGCTCTTTCCGATGAGTTGTTCAAAGCTTGTCTATGAAGCGAGACCAATGTGCATATCTGAGATTGTTCAATCGGGGTTAGAACACATTATTGATGCTCTCAGGGCTCAAGGTATATTCAAATTGACAGACAACGTGTACAGCCGAGGAGTCCGCATGCAACCGTAAAAGAACATCCAGTCGGGTTTAGATTAATGTACATCATCGACAAAGTTCACATGTTGCATAGTACTCTCAATTTAGCGGTTTTGTTGCGTTTGTTCTTCGTGCTTTCCGAACTTATCGATACATCAAATTCCCTATTTAACGCTTTCTTTTAGTTTTCGAAGAAACCAAAAGTTGTGGTACTGTTTGTATATGGGTGCGGAACACTCTAAGTGATCTGAACGGAGGTGCAGTTACTTAACCGTGGTACGCTGCATATTAGGGATCGAGCCTAGCGCGAGGTTAGCATAAGGTTTGTCATCTTAACTGAATGATACTCAAGCTCAAATAACTCGCAGCTATCAGTCAGTCCCTAAACATTTGGTCATTAAGTCGGTTTCCTGTAACTTCGTATTAACGGTCCACAGATTTGACTGCAATAATTCCTGTTTCTCATACGCATTTGAGATAATAAAGTACCTAATTCTTTGCTCC